AAAATATTATTGTTTTTTATTCTGAAGTTACCTACAAAGAAAAACGCAAAAAACGCAATTTGAGTCCTATTGGAATCAATTTATGCCATGTACAGACGAGCGTTGTTCGCTTTCTTATTCGTTGTTCGACCCTTAATTATGAAGTAATTACTTAGTTCCCCATACAAAATTGTCTGAGCGAACACCGACTTTTGTACGTTGTTCAATTCGAATCACTCTCTGAATCACCAAGAAATTTGTCCCATCCCTAACAACTGAGAGCATTTATCGAAAATAAATTAATTTTGACAGCTTGAAAATATTTATAAAATTTTCAAACTTTTTTAGTAATATTGAAAATGATGAATGAAAAGTAAAAGAATGAAAAGTTTTTCTATATGCAGCAGGATGTAAATTTTGTTATCTACATAATGCAATGTGAATTTCTTTCCCCATGGTTCTAATTAGCGTACAAAACAAGAAACAAATTTGGGGACACTCACACAAAAAATTCTCTAAATTTTTATATTTGACATTTGAATTTAGAAAATATAAAAATGTATGAAAACAACAATATTTTCAGAAAAAATGGAAAACGTGAATTAAAAATAAATAGATATGGGTTCATACTATAGTCAGGAGAAAGAGAATTAATTTTTCTATTTAGATCCATATGTGATTCATGTAAATATGTTAGAATTTTGGCGTAAAACAAGAAACAAATAATTTGAAATAAAAAACTCTGATAACATGAATTATGAATAGTGTTGTATGAACGGGTTAATTCACGTACGTAATTCTGAGAGCGAACTACGTTGTTCGATTGCCCGTCAGAACATGGCATTAGAAGGCTTTCATTAATATATTTCAGTTGTCAAAAGATCAGACAAATTTAAACATTTTAGTAAAAGTCTATCTAAAATGACTTATGCGTAAAAAAGAAAAACATTTCTTTTATTATAGTCAATTATGAATCTATACACAAACGTATTAACAAATATTATATATTAAATAAACAGCACACACCACCATTAATACTCTCCATTCATAATTTTTATGTTTATGGTTTTAAAAGTTTTAAAATACGCCTTGATTTTTTAAATTTTTTTATTTCTTTAATTTTATTTTCAAGGTGTAGAGTTTGGCTTCGATTTTCGCCGCTTTAAGGCACTTTTACGCAAAAAATCTTACAGAATCATAAATTTTGACATGTTTTCTTTTTATTGCCATCAAAAAAGATATTATTTTCCAAAATTGAAAAATTGACGTTTTGACTAAAAAACAGTCCAAATTACCTATAGTGCATAGGTAGGTTTTTGCTTCTTAGTGAAAATAGCAATTTTATTTCAATGTCCCATTAAACAGAGATTTACGTTATTTTAATTCGATATTTCCTACCATGAATATTTCGTATACAAATAAACATTTCGGAACGCCCATACACACAAGCAAACATACATAAATTAATTCCATATTTACCACAATTCCACCATAAAATCACTACAATTTTAATTGATAAACATCTGCAGGAATAGTCAGTCAATTGGAGATTGATGGCAATGACTGTCCGGTGTGCCATGAAAAGGGAAGAAGTGTAAACATTGTCAATCATCTTCTCTTTATCAGTTCGTTCGACTCAACGACCAAAAGGCACACATTTAGTCTGCGGAATTTTACGTTTGGGGGTTGCAGGATAGCTTTTTGGTTTGTTTTCTTAGTACAACTGGCAAAATTGCTGTCTGTGTGCATTTCTTGTGGAGAAATTACTTAAAGTTCACAATAATAGCAGTTTTGACAGTTGGTCGGAACTATGGTCGTGGTTGAATGGACCCAGCTGAACACACCTAAGTCACTCCGGTGATGAATAACAGCATGTGCGTGAGTAAATGAATGGGCAATGAGTATCAACAACTTGATATGCGACTAACCTTTATTTAGGAAACACAATAGCAGGTGTAATTTCTATTAATAATGTCACCCAGAAAGCGAAGAACAGCTGATTGATCTCAAGTTTAATGTCAATTATTTGAAAGTTATTTAGATTATCATAATACATATGTCTGTTTCAGAACCTGCAAAAATATGTTACTACGATCTGATTAATAGGCCCTGCAAAGGTGCACATTTTCGATACGACCAAATTTGATGGTTCTACAATTGTGGTTGTGTCACATGACAGTAGCAAGTTCTCGTAGTTGATATATCCTCGGCCCTATGGCTAATGAGATTATATACACATTGATATTGCAAAAATGTGCCTCATCTAAATATTTGTATTATACTCAATGTTTCTTTGGACCAAATCCGTTTCAGAGAATTTCGATTCGATTTACAAATGTCCGTCCATCTTCTGTCTGGCCGGCCGATTTCAACTAAACTTTGGACATCGAAATTTTTCTCCCAATCTCAGTTAAAGTTCGGTCCACTTCTTCTGATAACTTCCCCACAAAATTGTCAAAATTGTACAAAAAATAAATTTTATAATATCATGCTAACGGACTATCCGATTTGAACCAAACTTTGCACAATAAATTAATTTTATAATATCAAACTTTGCACTTTGCACAATAAATAAATTTTATAATATCATGCTAACGGACTATCCGATTTGAACCAAACTTTGCACAACTTATTATCTTTACCAAGTCTAGATCAAGTCCGAATTGTTCCACTCCTTCTGATACCTCCCACACAAAGGGTCAATATTTTATAACCGACAACAACATTAACTCAGGAAAATTAATTCCAAAACCTCTTTGATAAAAACATATACCTTATATAAAGTGAATAAGAAAACCAGTTTGTATTTTCGAAGACATCCGCAAACCATAGGCTGAGGATACATCGACTGATACTTTTTGCTTGTTTTTTAAGTTTTTTGATACGTTTCAATATGATTTTATGCCTGTTATAGGCGAGAACCCATTCATGCGTTTGAATACCCTAAGTCCGCAATTGTACACAATAGAACCCTTGCTGCAAATACATGTTCCATAAAAGCATGTTCATCAGCAATCTGGAGACGCACCCAAGTTCCCACCGCATGTCACATAACAGAAACTCAGCGCATATTTAACTAACAATCAGCCATTTCAAAAAGTGTTTCACATGGTAATTTGCAAAATTAGGTTAACCAATGTAATTATATATATATAATTGTGGCGTGATATATAATACAACGTAAATTTAAATTTAACCGTTTCGACGCCATGAACTCATACATACGTATGTACATTTGTGAATATAAACCCATTGTGCGTTTTTACGTTTCACGATAAGGCGCCAACTGTTACTTTTTCTATTCTAATTCTATTGTATCTTATGCATGAATAAACACACACACATTCACATACGAGTATGACTACATATGCGTGTGTACTCCACAGGATGTGCAAATATGGCACTGTGATATTGAAATGACAAGGATAAGTGAATCGATTAAAGTTTTTCATGACAAAATTCCTATATGAATAAGAAATCAAACTTTTCAAAATAAAAAAAAATTGCAGCAAGGATCGGGTTAAAGTACATACGAATGCCGATTGCTTGTCTGTAACGACCCTACCTACAATGTTGTGAGCGACATTTTTGTAGAATATTTAGATGTCAAAAAATAAATAGATTACGGTTCCAGAAAATCATGGTATTATAACAAGTGGTAGGCTAATGGAACTTGTTGAATAAACCTTTTCCTTTTGGTGCCTCTTTTCTGTCGAAACAGTGACTTAATTTGTATATGTGTATGTAATGTCTTAAAAATTACAAAACAATATTTTAATAGTCAGTTGTAATTAAAATTCAACATTACCGGATTCGAGAGTAAAATCCTTCGGAGTTTTGGAAAGAAAAAATTTTATAATCATATTTACAACCCCATATTATGAGAAAGACTTATCATTCTTTAATTGTTTTGTTACATTTTTTTAATAAATAACATTTTAAAAACATCCCAAATAAACAGAACAACCTCTTGGATGTGTTTATATGTAAATATGAAATTATAAGACATTACACTAGTCTACAGTGTTTATTAATTTCATCATTCTATATTTATTCTTTCTTTATTATTGGACCATGCAGAAAAAAGAGGACACACAAAGCGATGAGTAAGAACGACAACATGTTCTACAAATATATTCCTCAATCGATTTGACAGAAAGCAAATCAAAAATTATATAGCTGCAAACAGAGATATAATGCAATTTCTTCATAGATTTTAACGTAAAAACAAAAAAATTCATCGCGCCATAACTCCTATGGCGAAAGTGTCATTCTGAAATGTCCCAACCCCAAAAATCTTGTAGTACAGTTAATATTTTATTTATTACAATTAAACTTTACTACAGTTGGGTAAAATAAAACTTTTCTCCTATGGGGGGTTCGTCTCTAAATATTTGCAGTTTTGCAAGAAAATATTTATTTTAAACGGATTTTTCATTATGCGAATTAAAGTGTTTTGACATTCACCCGAAATATTAGTTTCAATTAACCGATTTTACTTTTCAATAAAACGGCATTCGCTTATCCGAATTCGACTGTATATGCTTTTATGTCGTTGCCATAGTATGTTAATGGTTTTTGTGGGAAATAATGCTACTCCTTGTATAATAAGTTTTTCAAGCGAGAATTTTAAATATGAAAGGCAGGTGTAAATATTCAATAGACGACAGCAATACACAATCGTATGTTTTCTTTTGAATAAGTTTTGTTTTTTTTTTAAGAAAAACTATTGGTTTTAGGGTGGTTTTAAGGAAGGTTAACACACATACCGCCTATGCAACGAATAGCACACCAGACTATGCATCTATTTTTGAAGCACATGTTTGCTTCTCAAGGTAAAAACGACAACAGGTGTACTAATTTCCACAAGACTACAGCCTGCGTTGATAGATGGTTTTTATGGTGACATAAAGTTTAGTTTTATTACTTGTATCCTTCGGAAAGGTTAAGAACAAGACCAACGCAAGACTACAAGTAAAATATTTTTGCAAAAAAAAGTTTTACTCCTTGTCTCATTCCAGATGTCTTTAAAAAGTGACCAGGAGATTTTAGAAAATTCAATGCATGAAGATGACCCAAATGGCAATTCGGCGTTGGAGCAAACATTTGCGGAGAAAGTATCACCACGATGGGGTCCCCAACATAAAGGTGCTCAAGAGCTGGCCCAGTTATACAGTCAAGGTTGGTATATACCTGAACGGAATAATGCAGACGCGTTGATGTTTGTTTGAATGTTTCTTGAACACTGATTTTATTTTCATTTTCTTTTACTTAAGGGTAGCGATGTCTAATAATTCTTAGCCTATCTATTCAATACAATATTCTTATCATTTAACTCTTGCATTTCCCACAACGCAGTGAACGTTGGAGTTTCCCACCATGTGTGTCATTCTTATCACAACCATGATCCTAAGGGGCACTCTTCTAATACAACTACCCCCTACCTGGGGTCGTAAAATTCCTAAACTGTGTGATCATATCACACACAGTACTTGAAACGGCAATAAAATGCGAGCAAACATTTACTTAGCCTACACAAATAGTGACAAAAATACCTACATACAAAATAGTACTTAAAACTAGAGTGGTAATAAAACCTAAACAAAACTAAAAGAATATCTGTTCGAACGTATTTCGAACATGCTGCCCAGGGGAAACAAACATAATTTTCCAATTTTAAAATAATGGTGTTTCTCTATGACCTGTTATCACCCACTCTAACATCTCTAGAAAAATCTAAAGCAATGCGAGTACGATTCCTATTACATTTAACTAAATTATAAACAATGAAAATAATTAAAACTACGATTACTAATATTAGGGATGAATGACCACTGATATGATGAAAATTGAGGCCTCGTAGCTCGACCTTTATATTCTCCACCTTTTTAAGCCTGTTCATGACCTCATCAATTTGCGTTGTATGGTTGATCAGCAGCGATTCCATTGGCTGCGCATTCCACTCCGTAATTTGCACAATATCCGTAAGCAGCATCGACCTTTCCTCCATAACTCTTTTCGACTGCACGTTGACTGGCGCGGAGATGGTTGTACCTTGCACCCGAAGTGTACATCCTGGATCTAACTCCACCACCCCCTGCAATGGCAGCTCCAATATCTTCTGCGGGTGTGGCTTGCACTGGAGATGCGCTGAGGTTTTCCCAAATATCTTGAACATCCACTTATTATCCAATTCCAACTTTTCCCAAAACGAGTCGACGTTCGTTTCTTCTAGACGGCATTTAGGGTTGTTAAGAGGCTTGAGTGGCGAGACTTCACAAGACTTGTCGTTCGCATCTAGCCAAGGCCACCCACCATCGCAGACATACTCGAAGTCATCGAATTTCTGGCAATTATTCAGCTCCGCTCGTGACAATAAATGGTATGTGTCCATATTGAAATTATATATTAAAAATCTTTTCCGCAGCACTGGCACCATCTTAGTACTTCCAATTTGAACAGGCAGGGCAATAATCTTATGCAACTGGGACTCATGATCTTGAAATAGCGGAATCCATACAGACACAACTAGATTATTCTCTATTATTGTCGCTTTCGCCTTCAACAATTTGTATATGCTCCGCAACCTTGTTTCCGCCTTACCCGGCAACTTCAAATTCACCGGAATATGCTCTGTTATTTTAGCTATTTCTTCTTGCAGCTGGACCGGAGTAAGCAGCGAAGGATTCAACTTCCCATGATTGATGTCTATCAGCAACGATAGCATACTCGCTTGAATTTTCTCGTTCTCTTCCACAATTATCTGAAGCTCTTTAGTCACCATAAAGAACTTAATGGATTCCCGATACACGAAATACGACTCCTTCATTGTCTCGGTTATGTTGAGAATTCTGTCTTCGATCTTTTTGAAATTCGTGTTGACCTCCTCTGTCGTTCGTCGCAGAATGTTCACCGTCGATTCTACCACAGAAGTCTGTTGCTTAACCAGGTACTTCAAGTTGTATTGATTGTCAAGCATATTTTTCATGTTGTCCTCCAAGGCTCTTCGGTCATCGGCGTCCATGGTTCCAAACAGCACATGTTGTAACGAGCCGATAAATTCCAATGGTGCTCTTTTTGACCGTCTTACGTTTATGGGAAATAGATACTTATTCGTCTTCTCCATTGAGGTTACTTGCCGGTCCAGAGTATCCAGTATATGCTCACATTGACCTTGAAACGTCTGCAACTTTTCGCACGTCCCTCTCATCGTTCTGATGACCCCTTCTGCCTTCTCAATCACGTCAAAGAACGGCTTCATGTCGAAATAGACGACCAGATTCCATGTCGAGGTCACCACGTCCACTGATCCCACATGATCTAAATACACCACTGTTGAATTCTTTATTTCCCCGATTTTGGCGCCAATTGGATCCGCTCTTAGGCCTGCCATCATCATCATCATCAAAATCACCAGCACGTACCCCATATTGACTTTAGGTACGAAGTTCATCCGAGTGTAATTCACCGACACTTTTTGTGGCTCCTGTACTGACTCCTCACACTCCAATGGGCATATCTTGATTATTGGTCTTTTCACCGTGCCGTTACACGTCTTAACGGTTGCGGTTCGTACTAAACCATCTCTTCCCGGATGTGTCTCGATTATTCTTCCCAACGGCCAACGAGCTGGATGCGTGTCTTCATTCTTTAAAATTACGATTTGTCCTTTCTGTAGATTGCCTTGTCGATTTTTCCATTTGTATCTTTGCTGTAATGTTGTAAGGTAATCGTTCGTCCAGCACTTCCAAAAGTGAGACTTCATTTTTTGGACCAGCTTCCATCGGTCCAAGCACCCAATTGTACTCTGATCGTCGTTAGAGGGTTCATCCAATATTGGACGGCCAATTAGAAAATGGCCAGGAGTAAGAACATCCAGGTTCTCGTCACTGCTACTCAATGCATACAACGGCCTCGAGTTCAACACTGCCTCTATCTGCGCAAGTAGCGTACTTAACTCCTCGAATGTCATCTTATTTTCTCCAATCACTCTCCTGAGATGGTACTTCATGGACTTCACCGCTGCCTCCCAGATTCCTCCGAAGTGAGGACTTGCCGGCGGAATAAAATGCCATTTAACCTTTTGTCTCTCTAATATTTCGCCAAGCTCTGAATTCTTTCGTACAGCATGCGCAAAGTCTGCATCCAACTTCCTGGCGGCTCCTACGAAGTTTGTACCGTTGTCGGAGTACATGTCGCTACTTTTACCCCTTCTGGAAAAGAACCGATGTAGAGCTGCTAGGAACGACTCCGTATCTAACCCATTAACTGCTTCCAGATGAACTGCCTTTGTCGCCATACACGTGAAGACTGCAACATAGCCTTTAAACGATTTTTGACCTCTTCCTCTTCTCAATATTAGTTGTAGAGGACCCGCATAATCTACACCGCAATGTTGAAATGGTGCAGATACACTGACCCGATACTGCGGTAGGATGCCCATTAACTGCTGCCTATCCTGATGTCTGTACCGGATACACACGACACATTTCCTTGTTATTTTCTTTACGCAGTTTTTCAAGTTTAATATCCAAAACTTTTTTCGTACTATACTTTCCGTCAGTCGATTCCCTCCATGTAAAGTATTAAGATGAGCCTCTTTAATAATCATATCGGCTAGTCTCGACTTCTGAATTATAAACGGATGCTTTTGACTCATCGTGAGATGTGAGTTATGCAATCGACCTCCCACTCTCATTATTCCATCTTCATCTATATACGGGTAAAGTGTCGCTAGCTTGTGATTTCTATCCAGTTGTTTATTTTCTCTCAGCTGCCGTACTTCTGCTTTCCATTCGGCTTGTTGATGTCCTTTTATTACCAATTTTTCCGCATTTGATATTTCCTCCCGCGTCAAGTATGTTGTAGGATACGACTTTTTCCTTAACTTTCCTATGTACCGCAACACCCATGCGAATACTCTCAGCACTTTTTGGTATGATGAGTATCTTTCTGTTAAATCATACAGATAAGTTGATTCTGCCGCCACATTAATAAGGGAGATCACCGATTTCTCCGGTCGCATCGTCCATTCTTTTTCTTCTTTTGATAACCACGCGGGACCGTTCCACCACAGCTCGCAATGCATTAATTTCTCTGGTGATAATCCTCTAGTTCCCAAGTCCGCCGGATTTTCTTTCGATTTTACATAATTCCATTGAACCTCCGGCAACAACTTCTTTATACCATTAACCCTTGTTCTAATAAATTTATCTTTGTTGTTGTTGTTTTCAATCCACGCCAGGGTTATGGTCGAGTCACTCCAAGCATAAACGTTCTTCTTATTTTTCACCACATCCATGATTTTTCTCAGCAAGCGAGCTAGAAGGTGAGCTGCACAGAGTTCCAGCTTTGGAAGAGTCTTCCTATTTTTTATGGGATTAACTTTACTTTTGGCTGCCACCAATTTCACTCCACCTGAAGTCTTTACGTACACCACAGCTGCATACGCCTTCTCAGATGCATCCGCAAATCCTAACAGCCATACGTCCATATCTTCCATAGTTTGCATCCATCTGGGAATTTTTAGACCTTGCAGCACCTTCACATTTTCTACTATCAGCAACCAACTTTTTTCTAACTCCTCGTCCAGCTTCTCATCCCATGACATTTGCAGCAGCCATAGGTGCTGGATGAATAATTTCGCTGTAATTACCACTGGTGTTAACAGGCCAAGGGGATCAAATATCTTAGCCAAATACGATAATGCTGTCCTTTTCGTGAATGTTGTATTATTTGGCTCCGATATTTTGAAATTAAACGTATCCTCCGTTGGACGCCATTGCAATCCCAAAGTTTTGACTTTCTCGTTTTCCTGCAGGTTTATTACTTCATTTTGTGCCGTTGTGTCATTTGCTGCTACTATTTCTCCACTGTTAGAACACCATTTCCTCAAATGGAATCCATATTTTAACAGGTGTTGTGATATTGCCGACTTAATATATTGGCATCCCTGGATCGAATCGCATCCTGTCAACAAGTCATCCATGTAGAAATCGTTTTTTATTATATTGCTTATTTCTGTATCCGAACATTCTTTGGCTATTTCCATTAAAGTTCTTACAGCCAAAAATGGGGCGCTGGCAGTTCCAAAGGTGACCGTCGTCAGCTTGTACTCCTTGACCGGTCCATCCTCCTCTTTTCTCCATAATACATGCTGATAGCATTGGCTTTCCTCGTCG